TGCTGGCGCTCGATACGCCGACAGAGACTGGCCATTTTTTTTCAGTTTTAAAATAGATTGAGAAAAATAATAATAATGAATTCCTATTACAAAAAATAATAATATACTGAATTATATTGTAACAATATAAAAAAATATATAATAATTTATATTGTTAATTTAAATAATAGCAAAGGCGCCCCTAGTGGCCGATTTTGGCATACCGTGACAGAAACTGCCCAGTTTCATTTTCGGTAGTAGATAGTTGCATGTTCTGTTATAGCTAATAAACAGTCTTATATACTGAGACATAAACCTAACAAATTTTCCCCAATTCATGTGTTTCATTTTATGCAACCAGATGGGTAAAATGGGAAATTCGAATGACATAGAAAAATGTGTTTTTAACTATTAATTTATTTAATATAATCATGATGTTTTTTAAGAAAACTTTATACTATACTTTAACAACCTGCATTTTCTAATGATTACTGCTCTTACAATAAAGTATACAGAAAATAGATCTGTTCGTATGAGCCGGACACCTCGCTCCGCTCGTTTTTGCTTTTCATTTCAATTGAACATTAGTCGATTTGATTTCGAGTTCAATTGTCAACTTATTTGCAATACGCTGACGTAGAATTAGGCAGAATTCGATAACAGGATGATAATTAAATGTTGCTGACTTCTTTTTCATAATTTTTCATCTCTGTCGTAATTCCACTTCAAACTACAGTAGAGCGTCGTTTATCCGAAGCAATTGGGAACTAGGGTTGTTCGGATAACCTATTATGTACGAAAAAAATATATTAACCTATCCCGTGTTGAAATTTTTCTCCGTAGCATGTTGCTTCGTGGTGAATTTTCGTCGATGTTAAGCCTAACGTAAACTTTTTAAAATAATCGTGGCTATTGTATCGTTAAAAATTATTTCTTTATTTTTTACAAACAAAATAAATACATTGAAAATATAAAAACAAAAAAAATTATACTTTAGAAGTTAATCTAGTATCAAAAACGTTCGATTCAGCACGACACACAGTTCCCAAAAAACACCACACAAAAGTGCCAGCGCTTCCAGCTAAAACACACACACCAACAAAAAAATATTGGAGTAGCCTAAGACATAGCTAAAGATTGCAGCGCCACAGCACTAGCGAAAATTTAAATTTGACGACTGGAATTCTTTCGGATAACCGACGTTTCGGATAAACGACGCTCTACTGTAATTCTAATCGCGCACGTTGATCAAAAAATCAAAGAAATGCAAACGTAAAAGATTTGGAAACAAGCAGATAATGATAATACTTTAACAACTGAAATAAGCGTTAATTGTTAAAAAATGAAAAAAAATCTTACATGTTAGCTTAAAAATTAAATTCAATAGAATGTAATTTTAACGCCAAAAATTTACTTCTCGAAATCAGAGTATTCTGGAGGTAGCATATGAATTCAAATTTAGTCTACTTCCCGAAAGAATTTAGCTTAAAGTTTAATGTAGAAAGTTTCTAGGGATGTTTAAATATACTACGAAATATAAATCAGCAAAGCTTTAGATAATTTGTTATATACATATATATAAAGGAAAACCTGAGAGAAATCAACGTATTTCAGTGAAATCAAGATCGATTAAAGTTTGACGAGCACTTGCTTTGGTGCCAACTTCATCCATAAAGTTAATACAGTATTGTGAACTTTGATCTAGTATACTTCCGGTCATTGGTTGAATTTTAAAATGCTGTGTGCATCGTGACTTAGACAGAGATGGACTCTATTTGTATGCAAAAAGCGATTTAAATCAGTTAAGCGGTTTCGAAGGAGTTAGCTCGTCGAATTATAACCTTTAGTGGAGACGAGTGGATAGCCGAGCAGTTGACGGTTACTGTTCAGGAAATCCGAGAACGAATTCAGCCGGCCGAAAAATTCCAGGAATTTTTCGGGGGATAGTCCGATCCTGATTGTCCTATCTTATTTCTTTCCACCCGGCTGCCTCATTATTTCATGCCCATTGTGTGTTCTGGCCGATCACATGATGAGCCTGAAATAAAAGGCTCTCTTATTACCCGCAGGATGGAAAGAATAAAAAATTACTTTATTTTCTATATTTTTCTACTTACTCGTTAGTATCGTTGTTAATTAATAGGTTTAAATTAATTTAATGACTTGTATGTTTTGTTATTTCCGCCTGCACGATCTTAATTTACAATAACTAAAATTTCGCAATAATTTCATATTATTATACATATGAAAAAAGACAGAGTGCTTAATATTTGATAAGAATTCTTATTTACGAACATATTTATTTAAATGAACGATTCATTTAGTAAACAAGTAAGAGCATGGAAAATGAGTCAATGATATTTAAATGACGTCGGACGTTATTTAAATAACAGTTATTTTTAATATTTATAAATTTAATATTATCTAAATAAGTACAGTACATCTTATCACTGTACATCTTAAGACCATTTAAAAAGAGATTAAGGATATCTAGATCTGAAGTTAACTATAAAGAAATTCAAACTTCAGCACTTCCTTTAGAAATGCTATACATTTTTATGTAGTCACGAGGAAGTGATTAATGTTTGCAATTAACGTATAATGTAATGCATATAAACGATGATGTGTTTAGAAAAATGAGCGTTGCAAAGATACATCATTCAAAAAGTATTTATTTGATTATGACACGATGAAACGAATTGTTTTGTAAGCGTAGGTATGAAGCGATTTAAGCCGCAACTGCTATATTATTTAGCTTATTAATTTATTATTACCGTATAAACATTTACAAAATTAATTAGATACATTGTTTAACTCTTAGAAAATTTTGCTAGCTCTTTAACAGAAATTTAACGAAAGTTCAATCAAGTATTATCTTTCCTGTAAATGACATAACATTGACTTTCTATTACGTTCCGAACTACAAATATAAAATTGCATTAAGTTATAAATAATTTCATTATGAAAATTTTAATACTTTTTCATAAATGAATTAAAATTATTCGAAAATTAAACTATGCTTGCTGATATTTGAATAAGTTGACTTAAGTGTTATGATAATTTAACCATAACGTATAACTACCGGATAGCCAACCAGTTAAGGCTACGGTTACTATGGATGCAAATTCTGACGAATTCGTCCGAACAAACAAATACCTGTTTTCCAACGAGAGTGTTTACTTTGGCAGTAAAGGGCATGCCAGAACACGCACGATGTAGTCAGAACCATTCGAGCGTTCAAACGAGTTTGATTTTTTCGTGCGTTCTGACGTTGAATTTCGAGTGTTTTGGTTTTTTCAACGTGGATATTGATAAATTGATTAATCTTGTGTTCGAGAATAGATGTTTGTTGGACATGAAAGACAAAAACTATCACAACAGAGATATTTCTCATTTTGGTCTCATTCTGAAATACTCGAAAAACTTTTGCGGGTTGTCCCACAAATCTCGATATAACATTTGGAACTCTCCCTTATCGTCTCTTATGGAAAATAAGTGATTAACATGCTCTGTTTTCCAACCACCTATAACAATAACGTAATCAACGGACTTTCAAGAAAATAAAACTCATCAAGTTCGTTTATTTTGCTGGAAGGCAGAAACGTACTGACTGTCAGAAAATGCGCACAGTGTAACCACCTTGTTCTGACGAGAATTTCGGACGTACTCGTCAAAACAAAATTTCGTCAGAATTCGCATCCGTAGTAACCGTAGGCTAAGGCGGCAGCTTACCGCTTTAGAGAACCCGGCATCAAAATCGGATATGTTGGTAAATCCCAGGAATTTTTCGTTGGTAGATCCATTCGAAAATATCGGGCCTGGTCAGTAATGGGCTTGATAAAAACGCACTGCTCACAAGCCAGAGAGAGATAATAAATATTGTGATTTATATAGCATATATTTTAACTTCAAAAAGAAGCGTTCTTAATTCGATTTCTATCTGTGTAATGCAAATATTTTCATATTCATTGTTAAAAAACTTTTTACTTTTATGTGTTTTTATGTTTGGAAAATGGTTTTATTACTAATTTAACATTAAATGGAAGTTAACAAGCTCTATGAACATAAGTGTAAATATAGGCGTGTATAAGCGATCCTGGTGATGATAAATTGAACTATCTTGCCAGTACAGTAATTTCTGAGCTTGTTTCGTTTCTATCATAAAGGCCAGAAGTGATGATAAAATTTGATTTTACGATCGTTGTCTCTTTAATAGTTCAATTAATTATTTATTTCCTTTTACAAATTTTTAGTTTTAATTTTAATCAGCGTTTTTCAGATTTGTTTTATGGTTTATAATAATAGAATGCTAAATAATTGATAATAATGTTATAAAATACAGTATACAATTTTACAGACGTAATATTTATTTTTATTTAAGTTCTATTTTATATATAATTTAATATCATGTAGTATTAATTTAGTTTTTTTTTAAATTATCAAAATTTATTGNTTTAATATCATGTAGTATTAATTTAGTTTTTTTTTTAAATTATCAAAATTTATTGTCGAACAATAATAATATATTTTTAAAATTTATTATTATATTAGAAAAAATACTTTATATAATATTTCTATTATCGTAAAAAAGTTAATAAAATGTTTCGTAAGAATAAAAAAGTGCAATGATTTATTTTAAGTCAATTTACGTCAATTTAACTTCATTTTTTAAAATCGTTCACTGTAAAAATATAGGAGTGACGTCAAACTGACGTGTTAAGCTATCTGGAATTAAACGACAAAAATACAATTTATAATCCATCAATATTATATAAATTAAAATATCTTAATTAAATTTCTAAATATAATTTTCGAAACTAAACGTGACAAATGAATAATATCTGAAATTTAATACATTGTTTTAAAGTTTAATTTTCTATTTAATTACAATTTATAACTTCATAACGACTAAAATAATATATTGTAAAATTTATAAATTATTTAAATTTAAAATGATATTAACTTTCACATATACATATTTCGAATGTTTACCGCTGGAGTATCGTGTCGCCACCGTCTGCGGAGATAGAGTTCTGGCACAGAAGCAACGACATTTTTTCTTTTTGGTTAGGTTGCGAGAAAGAGGTTACTAGTTTATTAGTAGCTTGTTATTTTAGTGATCCGCTGACATTGACATTGGATCGTTCAAATGATGGCGTCTAGTAAAAGTAACATGGATCAAGCACCGAAGGCTCCTAAGAGTGGAGATGAATCGGAAGATGACTGCGAAATATTGGAAGAAAGTCCTTGTGGACGTTGGTTAAAGAGAAGGGAAGAGGTAAATGTCATTTTGTTTTTTTCATTTATTTAAAGTCTCCACGAGTTTTTCTTAGTCACCAAAGTGTTTTATCCTTGAACTGAATAGCGTATTTCTCTAGTAAAGATGTCTGTCTGCTTCTTTTTAACTTATTTCTATGTTAAAAATGTCACGTTTTAAGTTCTCTATCGTCTAAAAATAGTAAAAAAACATCATTAAGTTGTCATTTAATGATATGAATTATATACAAATGATATTATTGAAGTTGATTTGAAAACTTTCAAAATATTAATGTGTTTCTATATTGGAAATTTTAAAAGATAACTTTGAAAATGTTTTAAAACTCATTAAGGATTTAAGTTAATAATTAATCTGGTATTAAGCTAGTTGTTATTATAGTCATTAACATTGTAGTAATATTATTATATACTGTTTATTGTGTATATTAGTAAAATATACATTATATATATGTATGTTTTACTAACATTGGTAATATTACTATAATAACATATTTTTAGTTATATATGTTTAATGAGACTGTGTGTGTGTGATTATTTATATATATGATCTATGTATATGTATAAAGTTGAGAAATTATTATTATTAGGTACAACAACGAGATATTCCAGGAATTGATGCTGCTTATCTTGCTATGGATACCGAAGAAGGAGTAGAAGTGGTATGGAATGAAGTGAAGTTTTCAGAAAGAAAAAATTTTAAAGCTCAAGAGGTAAAAAATTTAATTATGGACATGTACATTTTAACTTTCACTTTTGAAATTTGTTATTTATTGTGTTATTGAATAATTATTATCCATTTTAAACACAATATATAAGATTATAAAGTTTTTAATAATTAAATTTTTTTAAATTCATAAATTAATAAAATGTTTCTATAGTGACCAAGTTAAATGAGAAGTTAAATAAATACAGTTGAACCTTGGTATATGACCTTAATCTGTTCCTGATGTTTGGACTTATACCAAATAGGATGTATACCAAACCAACCTTTCCCATAAGAAATAATGTAAAAATGATTAATCCGTTCTCATGTAAAAAAAATGGCTTAACTTTAAACACCTCGCTTTCCTGGCTAGTTTCTGCTTGATTTTTCATCAGATCAGCATGTATCTTTTTAGCTTTCTCGCAAATAATTGCTTCTGATACGCTGTCACCAGCACACCGTTTTTCAGTTATCCAAAGCAAAAGCAATTTCTTGACATGATCTAATGTATTCAATCTCTGTTTAGAAATTGATTTAACCCCTTTCGCAATGTTAGCAGATTTAATAATGTCTTTATTTTTGAGGATTGTCGATATCGTTGTTTTCGGAATACGGTATGCAACAGTTAAATCTCAAACATACATTCTACTTTCATATTTCTCAATAATCTCTTTTTTCAGTTCCATTGTGATTCTAGTCATTTGTTTTAGTTTTCTGTTGCTTTTCATTTGCCTTTCTGCAATTCATGATTAATAAAAATAGTAAAATTTTACTTATGAATTAAAATCAGAAGAAATTTAACAAAGTTATAAACTGTGGCACCGCGAACGTCTAGTCTGGTCTGGTACACCGATAGTGCTACTTGTTCATAGATGGTGCATATAATTGAATTAAGTCGTATACTGAACAAAAGCTGTATACCGAGCAAAATTTGTTTTGTCCAAACAGGATGTATTCTGAATTGCACTTATTCTAAAGCAGATGTATACAGTGATACCTTGACTTACGCTACCCTGACTTATGTGAACTCGGAGTTATGCGATTTTCAAATCTTGTCAATTCGTCTTTTGTTTGAGCGCCACGCACTCTTGATTACTCACTCCCCCCACACTATTGTTCAGCTTACATGTTTGGACGTGTCGCGCGGAATCGATACATAGCTACAATTTATTTTGTGTTATTTATTTCTGTGTTTGTTATATCTATGGAGACTTGAGAGACTCTATATGGTGATTTCTTGTAACCATGAACGAACCAAATGACGAGATAAGATTAACGAGAACATTTATTAGCTTACATACGTCCGACTTGGATTTTACACAAATTGTGAAATTATACCCTGACTTATGCGAATTCGACTTACGTGGTTATTGCTCGGTCCCACCTATTGCGTAAGTTCGGGGTATTACTGTACTGATTTACCACTGTATAATTTTAATATAACATATATATAGAAAACTTTTTCTTTTGTAGCGTAATTTGTAACATGTATTAGTTTATTATTAGAATTTCATTTTTTACAGCAATAAAATATTATTGATGTAAAAAAATACCATTTAATCAAAAATATTTTTCACTTTTAAAGGATGTTATTAAAATTTTTAAAATATATTTAAATATAAATAAAGTTAAACTATTTTTGTTAAATACTGGAAAAATTTGATTATACAATATTAGATTATTATAATTGTAGGTATTGTCATCAGTTATTTAATGTTATTATAAGTAGTCTGTCTGCAAACATATAAGTTAAAATACACTTAAACTGAAAATTGTTTGTTGTAAATATTGACTATTGTTATCATTATTTTTGGATAATATACAGTAGTTTAAACTGCTGACATTTCTCATTTCAATCACATGCAAGCCATTATTAAAAGTTGTATTAGACAAACAATATTGGATAAATCACAGTAAGACCATGCTTAATGCTGATTCAATATAATGTGATCTTGAAGCCTAAAAATATGCTCAAAATTTACGCTGATTCAAATTATCGTGGCATTTTATTGATTCATATATAATACGATTATTTACAAACATGAACCAATCAGCAAAAGGTGGCAATTCATCGTAGCACTGTACTTCTCTTAAATCTATGTTTGGTACAATTTTGGAAAAAAATATAATATCGTGGGTGCCATAGGCAATATTGACTTTGCTTGGCAAGAATTAATTGATAAAATGCATGAACGGAGTGAGGAAGAAGTTATGGCTGTAGGTATCCAAGAATTCTCAATAAGAAGAGCCTATCGCTGTATCATTAGATTGACCAAATTGACAACCTAATCGATACAGCAGAACTAGGAGATGTAGATATGCAGGTTATTTAGGAGTTGCTGCAGATGTCTCGTCTTGTGACAGCCTTACCAACGACGACCTTCAAGAACTTGCAGAACAAGGAATTCATGTAGAACTGAAAACTGAAAAATAGAGAACCTTTAAAACAAAGAACTCAAAGAACTTGCTACAGATTTCCTTAGTAAAAGTTTGGTAATGATAACCAAAATCATTGATCAAATTGTAGCGAATGATCTAGATTTTGAAAGGTGTGCAAAAGCAAAACGAGGCATTTTGGATGCGATCTTCTGCTACTGACACTTGCTTAAGGAAAGAAAAAAAAAAGCCACAAATACACAACTATCGCAAAAAACAAGAATTTCAGAAGAGCCAAAACCTTCATCACAAATAATGAATTTTACATTTCTGTTTGCATATGTTTGTGTTATTTAACATATATTTTTGTGTTAATTTGCATAATAATAACTTAAAATTAAAGTAAAATATAAATATAGTTGCCTTACAGTCCTTAATTCTAATTTATCATTAATTGTCTACTCAGACACAACTTATTATTAGGATCTTATACTGGTGTTTTTGGATATTGACACAAAGAAGAGATCTGAATCAGAAAAAACAAAATTTCTTTATTATATTACCTATAGTAATTTTTCCTATACACATGTTATACGTGTTACATGCCCCTCATTAGCAGTATTACTATGACATTCTAAAATAAAACAAATGAATAAATAAGATACTAAAATTAGAATACAAAAATTACCCGACAATAAAATTTTAAAAAACTTACAGTAAATTTGCATCCATTAATAAATTGTTCGTAATGAAAAATAATTATTTCCAGTATGATGAAAAGTTCTATAATCAAACTGATGGAATACCAATGGGAACTTGCGTAGGCCCAAGACTTGCAGAGATTTTTATGATAAATATAGATAAAAAAATTAAAGACATCAAAGGAATAAAATTTTACAATAAGTATGTAGATGATTGTATCATTTTATTTGACGTAGAAAGACAAATGAAGAATTAATTTTACAACACTAACTCAATTGAGAAAAACATACAATTTAACATTGAAAAAGAAAATAATAATTGTATTAATTATTTAGACATAACTATTAAAAGAAATGATAATGATTTAGAATATAAAAAATTTATAAAACCTATGCAAATACCAAAGATACTCAATTACAAATCAAATATATCACAGACGATGAAATATAATATATTTAAAATGTACATTGATAAAAGTTAAAATAGGACTAGTAAGTTACAAAATCAAGAAATAGAAATTGAATAGGTTATAAAATGTTTTTGCTTAATAGTGTGACCATAGGGTCGGTGTCTCTTTGACACCTCATCAGGATGTGACACCACCGAGTCTCTCAGGACTCAGAAATCGCGACTTTACATCATGTGAGTGGTCACGGGTAGGCAGTTGGATTTGGAATAGAGGTGAGGAGAGAGAAACGAGGAAGTGATTCACTCAGATTCCAGATTAATAAACAATAACAAATTTATTTTAGCGGGCAGGAGTACATGATATACAATCTTGGATTTATGCATATTCCTATTTTCTTAAGTTTAACTGTCGTGAGAGAGAGCGTTTACAAACGACTCACATGTAGATAAATACCTTATAAAGAAGTTGAGGATGGATGACTTGATGACTCAAACATGGGATTCTTCGGGTGGTTGAAGGGTCTTTTTATTCAAATTGTTTGGATAACAGATCTCTGGAGGAAGGTATCTGACAGGTGTAGAATAAATCAAGAACTTGGGTGTGATAGGTATCCGTATGTTGATATTGACGGAGGCACAATATTTTAGCACACTTTGGAGGCGACTTTTGTGGATGAACTTTGGAGGATGACTGACTTGATTTGTCATTGCTCTCCCTTGTTATTTGGGTTCCTTCTGAGTTTTTCCATGAGGTCAGGAATCTGTTGTTAAGGGTTTGGCATCCAATACTGGAAATTTATCAAAAGTTCTGGGTGACACATTAATGACTAGATGGATCATCCTCAACAAGGAGCCAAATCTGTGGAAATAATTTTTATGGATTTTAGCCTAACTTGATAGAATTGATAAAATGATCGAAGTTAGATGATTGAATTTCAGAATAATTAAAATTTAAAATAACACTTTATTGAGGGTCTGTTCATCCCTCACATCAGTTATCCTAAAAAAATACTCAAAAAATGGTTATACTGGATTAATAGTAATGTCAACAAAAATAAAATTTTCAATAAAGATAAAAAATGTGTAAATTTAATATATACAGTATACTAAAGATGTTTGAAAGAGTTAAGATCCTTTTAAAAGGAACAGTAAATATAATACCCAAAAAAATGATTAATTAAAAGATATTTATACCATAGGTCTGATAAAAAAACTAATGTAATGGAAGAAAAAGGAATTGTTTATTCATTTAATTGTAATCAATCCAGCCAAAACATATATTGGAGAAACAAAAAGAAAACTGGGAATAAGAATAAAGGAACATATATGTGCAATACAAGGTAATTATGCAAATTCTTCTGTAGCAGAATACTGCAATAATAATGGCTGTGAACTAAATTCAAATACAATAAAAATAAAGAAAAAGAAATCTAATAATTATAGAAGACAATTATTTGAACATATATATATATGTTCAAATAATTGTCTTCTATAATTATTAGATTCCTTTTATTATTGTTA